AAAAAAATGTTTAAATATATATATAAAATATTATGTGGTTTACATATAATAGTATTTAGAGAGATTTTTTTATTTTCTAATAATATGAATAGATGGCGACACTTGATCACTTCCACGTAAAAAATGGCGGACTGCAAGGGTGCGTTTTGTGATTCTTTTGTACAGTAAACTATTCATAAATTCTATGTATTTATGTAAATTGTAATAACTGAAAATTTATACAAATTATTGTTTTATTATAATTGTATTTTTCTTTAAATTCCATATTTTTTCAATTTCAATAATATTTATTCGTATAATCATTTCAACAGATTGACGACATAATTTTGTTTGACAATCATTTTAACTGTTTGTTTTGTATTTTATCCAGAGAACAAAGAAGAGACAAATAGACCATCGTACGTTTTAAAAGTAGATCCACCGCAAGAATCACCAGGGGATTCACCTGAAAATTCCACCAGTGGTAAATAGTGCTATTTTTTGTTTCAAATGTATAATTTTTCTATCATTTTTTCTTTTATAATATTTACTATTTCTATTATATATATATATATTCCATATATTTTCTTCGTTTTTCAAAAATGCAATTAAAATTATTTTATTTTATTCCAATAATCTGTATTGTAGAAGACATAGGTTATGATGTAAAAACATTAAACACTATTCACATACAATAGTTTATAGATGGCAATTTAGAAAATTTAAATTGTTTCAGAAGAAATGGAGAGTCCATCAACAGAAAATAATACTCAGGAATCACCATCTAGTTCTAATAAACCTGTGTTAGCTGCCTCAAAATTTGGAACATCATTTGGAAGTAGTGATTCCTATAAATCCTTAGTTAAAAAAAAAAGATCTTTCACATTGTGGCCTTCTCAATTGAGCACAGTGACAAACAATCAACCTACTACTAAAGTATATTTACAACCAGCTAAATTTCAGAATCCATTTGCAAAAATTACAGATAATTTTTTAGATGAAAAGAATAATATAGCAAAAGAAAATAATAAAACAGAAACAAAGGAAGAAAAAAATGAAGAAAAAGAAGACACAAATGAGAAAGCAAATGATAAAAATGAAACAGAAGAAACTAAGAGTGAATTAAAAGAAACCCAAAATGAAATAAAAGAAACAAATGAAAAAAAGATAGTTGAGGAAACAAAACCTACCTTTTTGATGTTAGGAACAAGCACAAAGGATAATGTAAATACTACAGTAACGCCTTGTGCCTCAGAACCAAACTTTGTATTTGGTCAGAATCTCCAAGAACGTGTTATGATTGCAAATGACGCAGAAAATTCTGAAAAAACAGAAACTGAAGAAAAAAAAGAAGAGAAAAAAGAAGAAAGTACAAATGAAAATGGTTCTACAGAGCTTCTTTTTTCAAACGCATCCGCAGCGTGTCGTACTACCTCCAAACCAGGTTTAACATTAACAGAAGCAGCTCAGGAATTAGAAGAAGCAAATCGTGCTAACAAAAGAAAGTATAGCCAAATAACACCATTAACTGGTGAAGAAGGAGAGACAAATATTCTACAAATTAATTGTAAATTTTTTGCATTTGACAAGGTATGTATAACAAATATTTATATTTAATTTAAATTTTTTAACAAAATTATTGAATATTTTTGTACTTAATATTAAGTATTCGATTTTGTTCAGGCAAGTGGTGGTTGGCAAGAAAGGGGTAGAGGTACTTTGCGATTAAACGATCGCGATGAAGAATCTCGTTTAGTAGGACGTACTGCAGGAACGCAAAGATTAATTATGAATACAAAAATATGGCCAGGAATGACCGCAGAACGTGCAGCACCTAAATCATTAAGATTAACAGCAATGGATGTTCAAGGCAGTATCAGAATCTTTATTGTACAGGCTGCGCCTAAGGAAGTAGAACAACTTCATAATTTGTTACAACAGCGGTTAAAACGCGCACAGGAACGACAGCCTAAGAAATTAGCAACAGAGCACTGACAACTGATTAGTCATCCCTGCGAGCTGTTCGCTAATTATTATCTAAATTTACGCAATACGGAGATTGCTAACATGTGAAAAAATCCGGGAATCTATAATATCGGAGCTCATCCGAGAATCTATATCAGGTCCTATTTGTTTCTAGAATAACTCGTATAAAATAGAACTATGGCTATGATTCGCTTCTTTGCCTGTGAAAGTTCTTAGAACTTGATAATATATCCTATGCCGTATTGAAATCTACAGGCAAATGAAAGAAGACGAAAAAAATTAAAATCGAATTCTTTCCGGTATATATATTTTCTAATCATTCCCAATTCATAATTCTTCTTT